TACTGTGCAGCACGGCTCTCAAGCCACCCACGTCACTATGAAACAATAGGTAGAGGGCGTGAGCACACTGAGTGTACAACAGAGAGAAACGAAAACATAGCACCTCTGTGCATATGTAATACGCATCAAGCCCTATCCCCTAGCCCCTGAAGCCTAAACAACCTATCTAAACATAGAAAAGAAGCCGGCGGCAACGTGGGTTTATAACGGTGGGCGTCTGACCAGTGCTTGTTGAATGTAAGCTTTATGATGGCGTCAACGACGCGTCTTTCGTTTTTCTCCAGCAAATTCCATTTCTTCTTTATAATGTGCAGCAGCTCATCTGGTTCGAGCCGTTGCAGCAACTCGTGGGCGCGGGCATCTGTGTGACCCGCGCAACAGAACACAGACACAGAAAGCAGGAATAAACCCGCAAGGAAAACCCGGGCTTCAGCTTGCTACGCACTCAAGCGGATGCAACAAACAGCTCATGCTGCTGTACGTTTCTCTAGACTAACCAAAATATATTCTCACCTGAGTCATTGCTGTTGCTGCTAGCAGTACAACTGTCTCTGTCTGAGCCCCCAGAAACACCCGAGAGGCTGTTTGCGGGGGACTTATCTGCACCATCACGAATTTCAGATTCAGGATTATCTAAACTGTTGAAGACGTCCTCAAGGATTCTTTCCACAGCCAGGGCTCGCAGCCGTTCACTGTCTCTCCACCGCCTGCGACAGCTGCAGCAGCAGCCATTCCTGGCGCCCTGCAGCACCTGCGCTGCAACCTGGGTCGATACTATTCCGCTCGTTTTGCTGAAAAACGGTGAAGTCCCCGGGGTTGCAGCTGCTCCAGCATCAGCTACAGATGCAGCGTCTGTCTCGTGCTCCTGCACTGCTGTATCGTTCTTCAGCTCCGCCAACAGCCGTGCCCATATTGTATGGAGGCTCAAGTTGGTGGCGGCCTCCGCTGGGGTTTCTTTGCCCCCAGACCAGTCGGCTGAACCCCGCGCCGTCTCTGGGTACAGCGACTGCGGCC